GCCCTTACGAACTACGGACAGAGTGACTTCTTCGCTAGCGGCCAGTGATACCGGATTTTTCGTAAATTCAACATCAACGGCGGTTATATAAGTGATGTCATCAGAGCCATCGCTCGCTAACCCGCAGAAGTCATTCCAACTATGGTTAAACAAGCTGTTTCCGATGTCTACGCTGTCGTCGTGGCGGTTATGCAAAGGTTCCACATTGCTCGGCAATTCGTTCGACCCAGCACCAGCTGGCAAATCCGTCGACGACCTGCTGACATCGTTGTCAGCCGCGAAACTGTAAAACAGCTCTGAAGTGTCTGACGGCTCCATGGTGGAAATTTCAGGAAACACCGTTTCTGGTTCTTCCGAATGAGAAACGACGAACGAAGACGGAGAAGCAGAAAAAACTAAATTTGAAGCATCCGTCGGGGACTTTTCTGAAAGTTTTCTTGGATTCTCCAGGGGCTGTGGAAAAAATGAATCATTGCCGCAATTTGCATTTATGACCCCAAGGGCTGCAGTCTTCTTAGCAAAATCTTGGGCGGCTGAATCTTTGAATTTTTCATCAGCTGTACGATTCCCGTAGGGAGGAACATTAATCCGAAATGATGTCGTACCGAAGGGAAACACCGGTTCCTTAGAGAAACTAAAAATGCGTTTAAGTGATTCTTAATAATTAGGAAGTGCTTGGCGAAACAACTGCACAAAATGCTGAATACAAAAGCTATGAATGAAAACATACAAGAGGTATTAAAAATGACAGGGTCAAAGATAAGAAAATTATATTCTGTTAACAGAAATCAGGAGGAACAAATCCTACGCTAATAGAGTGGTGCCTATTGTGGCACCATATTCTCATGCAGTTCAGGATGCACTGATCTCATCTGTTTCGCTGCTGCCATTCTGGAATGCATCATTCATGAAGGATATACATATAGCATGTAGGAAGCGTATCTTTCGCATATTACCTACAATATAAAAGCAAGCATCAGCATTCTGCAAGTAGTAATATAGCATAATATTAACATACTTATTAGCCAACTTAGTATAATACACTAGTACTATGAGAAGGTACTGTTCAAGAACCCTGGAGTCGTGTTCACTAATGGAAAATTTGATAAAGAGATCAACCGGTGGATTGAAGCAGCCAGTGCCATTCTGCATGAACCACCTGAACCATTGTGACTATAGCAGAACTCAGTCTGATAACAGCTCTCGGTGTTC